TAGCATGTAGGTTGTGGTAAGTAATACTGACGTCCATACATAGCATCATACTTAAGCATACATAATTGCTGACCGACTGAGCATAAAGTCCCATTGAAACATTGCTGTACTAATGGGTTGTAGCATTCGTTTTCGCAGATAGCAGTGCATTGCCTCGTAGGTAATTGACTCTCAACATTCCATACAGCCAAAAAGATGAGAAAAATCCATAAAATCTTATGATTCTTCAGGTCACTTGACATAAACATTGTTTTTCAAATGTATTAAGTAGGTAGAACTAACTGCTTCTGTAGCTGCTGTTGATGTTATTTGCTCGTATTTCTATTGCAAAGTTTAAATTTTTAATGCTGTTTGGTTATAGTTTATATAATTACATATGTTCTGAAAAAAAAACTTCAATTGTAACTGAGTCTATATTATTGCACACATGATATTTAAAAAAGTCTACTAATATAATAAACATGAAATACTTAATATCTATGAATCTATTAGAAACAAATAGTGTATCAGTGAATAGCCCTGCCATGAGTATATTCCTAATGCAGAAGTCAATGGAATGAGAAAGATCGGCACTATTAACTAGTTCAGTCATTAAATAATCAGTAATCGAGATTTGGAAATTTGAATTCATCGAACAGACTAAAGATGTAATAATATCAATGCTGGTAGGATGTGGATATTAAATTCACCTCACATCCACACTCACTCGTTATATTATTATCTTAAAAAATAACCCGAATAACTGGTACGAAAAGCAAATAAATTGAACATTATTTCGGAGCATCTACTTTTGTTTACGCTACATAACGAAAATTTCTGTCATACTAATTCATCTTGCATTTATCAACAATCTTATTATATCTTTGATAAAAGAATCGGAAATAAAACTGTAATAAACTCTTCAACAAAATAGTCAAGGATATGAAATATCTTTGTTGTTCTGACTCGTTCACAAGCAAATGGTTTCTTTGTCCAGTCGTAAGAGTGATAATAAAAAATATTCACAATCATATTTTTTAGCAATAGAATAAGCTCTAGCATTTAAAGATATCATTTATATCCTTTAGACTACAATCAAATAGTATAATTTTACTTACTATTAAATAAAATCGAACGACAATTCAAACGGAAAAAGAATGAATAAAAAAACCAACTGTATACCTAGACGAATATGAATAAATGAATAAAACATCAAGAAATATATTATTTTATATCTCCTTTACTGCCGTGATCATTGATGCGTCCATCGTCGTTTTTTCACCTGAATAAAAATCGGCAATCAATCCGAGAACGAGGCTTTTAAATCATGATATTTTTTGGTTGTTTGCATCACCAACCGAAAATATCACATAACATGACAAAAACAAATATCAACCAGCGCACGTTTTTATCGCTTCTTCCGAGCAATTATCATTGATACATACACTTTCCATTTGGACGAACGAAAAAATTTCACGTAAAGCCATTATTTGTGATAATTTATAATATCGAAAGTAGAACCACACATTCAGCAGCACAATCCTCGTATTAAAATACACTTCGATGTTCAGCTAAAACATTTCATTTTGTCGTATTTTCTTTTATTTAAACACAGTAAAATAAAATAAATAGATAAAAACATCGGAGATTCGTATTCAAGTTTTTAGAGATATCGCTTAAAACAGAAATATAAAACTGAATCAGAATTGAAGATCAGACCAGTTTTGTTTCCATTGTGCATTCTGATGTGTTGTTAATATTTGAAGAAGTTTTTGATACATTTGATGACGTTCATCGTCAGTTGCAAGTCGCATTTGATCATTCAATGGATCGAAATGAGGTTCAGAACTTAGTATGGATGTGTCGACTGGTGTGGAATACTTTCTTTTAGTCAAAAACGTTACGACACGTTTATCTGATCCAATAATCGGAGTAACAGAATGAAAGTGTTCAGTATCAACATGCATTTTATTGCCGGGAAAATGATATCTCGACGTCACATGACGAAGAGTACCAGGTATTAGTTTAGCTTTACTGATTGTATTATCTGCACTTCGAGTGAATTGATAAGTAAATTTTCCATCATTATCATCAATTATTCTCCAAATTTTTTCTTCATATTGTCCTTCCAAACAATATGTCTCGAATGAATTTCGATGATTATGAATATGTGTTTCAGCACAATCGATAAACCAGTTGATTTGATATTCAATTGTTTCATCATACTCATCATTACCACAACGAAGTTGATACATGACAAAAGGTACAGTACGAACATCAGCCGTTGACCAATTATTCAACGCATTAATTATTCGTCTGAAACAAAGATCTTCTGTTTAATTTAATTTGGAACATATTCTAAAAAGTAACAAGTATTTAACAGTTATCAAATGATTGATATCGAATCTAATCTACCTTCTCGTATGGTTGCTTTCTTCTTGTAGAAGCATACTTGGAGTTCTCTGATATAGTAACATAATTAGAAAGAATATAATTTAATTGTGTGAATTTGAATATGAATATTCGATTAGTTTAAATAGGATTCTAAAAGCTTATTTTAGAATTTTTTTCCCACTGAGGAGAACAAAAATTGACTCACTATTCAAAGTCTGATAACGTCATTTTTATCGTTCGCTACGACAGAACGAGATAACATCTCAATACCGCATACAACTTCAAAACATGCAATCATTATTTTGCAGCGTTTTGAAGATAAAAGAAATAAATATCATTTTTGACTTCTTATTGGGAAATTATTATTAACAGCAGACAAGCGTTAGAAAAAACATTTTTTAGTATGTCGGTGCTGGTAGGAATAGGTGTACGCGTGCATACAGATCTAAAGAGAAGACTTCTTCATAAACACTCACCTACCTACACCGATATCAACATCTACGTCCATTCAACTCACACCCACCCACTAAATTCCCTAGCCGACTGCCACATATATATTGAAATCTTACAATAGTGCTCGCAAGCTGTTCTTTTTCTTTCTTTAGAGTTGCGTATTGACGGAGGAACAAGAACATATTTTACACTAATACGATATTTTTTCTTTCGTTCTGTAAAGAAACGCATGTGTTTGGCGTATTTTTTCACAAATGATACTCATTTCGAGGCAAAAAAACACTCCGAGTAAGTAATAGTAAAGTAAAGAGCTACGATTTTTTATTATAAAATCAAAAAAGACAATCGTATGTTTTTAAAATTTTAGTTGTATAGAATATTTTAATTTGAAAGTTTTTTAAAATAGATTTTCTGTAATTTATAAAAACTACCCACACCCACCCTCAAAATGGTCAATGGTATATATTTACTGTAATTTAGAATTAATTGAACTAATAGAAGAATTGATGTTACGTTTGTTATTAAAGTCAAAAGGAATACATGTTGTATCACGTATTCGAGGAGTTTCAGTTCCTTGTATAAATATCCGTACTTATAAAACACGCATCCAACAATTACATCATGATGGAATAGATTATAATCAACAATCAATAGAAACGAAAGCTGATGAACATGTTCGTCGTTGTACATTCTATAAAGATCTTGATATTTGGACATTATATAAGACAATTTGTCCAAATGTACGTACACTTGGCGATGTCTTATATGAAGGTCGTACTGCTTCAAATAATAGTTCATGTGTAGGTATTTTACAATCGTCGAATAGTACAAAATCAATAGAATGGTTATCCTATTCAATGGCAATCGAACGAAGTCTCATGATTGGTTCATATTTATGGAAATCTGCAAATCTTACACCTATGCAATCAAAAGTAGCTATTATGTCCTCGAATCGACCTGAATATCTATTTGTTGAACAAGCTTGTTATATGTATGGATTTATTCTTGTGAATCTTTACACTAGTTATGATCCTGCTGCTGTTATGAATTTACTTCATCGAACTAAAGCAGAAATACTTGTTGTTGATAATATTGAACGTATTAAATCATGTCAAAATGAGTTATTACAAAATAATCAACTCAAAATGATCATTGTCATGGATGATAAAATCGATAATCAAACAAATAAAATACAAAGTCTTTCATCAATCTTAAAGATAACAAAGGCAAATGATATTTGTGAACGACCGATCATAGATCCAAATAGTATTGCAACATTCATTATGACCAGTGGTACAACAGGTAAGATAAAGGGTAGGGTATGAGTAATCTTTTATCACACACCCTTGACCCTTCTCCGTAGAATTGTTAAGGAAATATTATTCTTTCTTTGTGTTTTAGGTGAACCAAAAATTGTGATGCTATCGCATGAGAATCTTTTAGCAGGATCAAAAGGACATATTCTTCGTATCGAACGAGCTAATATCAAAGGATCTGTTACGGCTCGACACTGTTCAGTATTACCATTGGCTCATATATTTGAACGATTCATTCTTCTCGCAGTCCTTCTACGTGGTAATCAAGTCGTATTTTGTCCTACACCAGATAAATTTGTTGAGTATTGTTCTATTGTAAAACCAACTCAAATGACAGTTGTACCTCGAATTCTGAATAAAATCCATGATAAAATTATGATGGAAATCAATAAAAGTAAATTAAAACAATATCTTGTTCAACAATCCTTACGTAGTGAAGAATCATGGTGGTTATCACGTTTGATTTTGGGTAAAGTTAAAAAAATATTTGGTAATGAATTAAAAGCGATATTTACTGGATCGGCACCAATCACGCATGATGTATTACATTTTTTTCGTATTGCACTCGATATACCTATTATGAGTGGATATGGACAAACAGAAACAACAGCTTGTGGTACTACTACTCATGCAGGAGATCTATCGTTTGACACAATTGGTTCACCTGTTGCAACTGTCGAAGTGAAACTTATCGATGTACCACATACGAAATATCGAAGTGAAATGAATCAAGGAGAAATTTGTATTCGAGGACCAACTATCTTCAAAGGTATATCACATTCATTTTTTGAGAGTGTGTCTTCTTTTCAATAGTTCAGTTTGCCAAGAAGTCGAGCTATGAGAAAGTAAATATTTTCTTATAAATTTTCTTTAGGCTACTATAATGACGAAGTCAAGACACGTGAAACAATTGATGAAAATGGTTGGTTACATACAGGTGATATTGGAGAATGGACAAGTGATGGTGCATTACGCATTATTGATCGTACAAAACATATATTTAAATTGAACCAAGGTGTTTATATTCGTTCTCCATGGATTACACAGATCTTTGTTGATGGAATTTCGACAGAAGCTACGGTAGTAGCTATTGTTATACCAGATGAAGACTTTGTACGAAAACATTTTAAATCAACACAAACAATAGCATTTACTGATTTATGTAAAGAACCAGAATTGAAACAGATTATCTTGACCGATTTAATTCGTTTGGCTAAAGATAATAAGTTGAAATATTTTGAAACTGTAACCAATATTTATCTTCACCCGCAGCCATTCTCAATGGAGAATGGTCTTCTTACTATAACGCTTAAAACGCGTCGAATGAATGTTCAAAAACAATTTCAATCAATCATTAACTCACTCTACAATGTAAAGAAAGTGGCAACGAACAATCTATAATTGAATATACTCTAACCATATTTTTTAAGTACTATAAAAAAAAACAATATTTATTGATATAAATCACACATTTAGCCGAGTATAAAAAATACATTGAATTAGACACGAGTGTCTCGTTGTGCTAACGATTGATTTGTTATGAAAGCAACTGGTACGGTTGGTTGTTTTACTATTTTCTGATAAAAATTGAAAATTAATTGTTTAAAATCTCGACGAAATGATTTTGATGTAATTAAATAAATATAGAATGGTGCAGCATTATTTAAGAATAATAATAAAAATGAAATATTAAATATGAAAAGTTCAATTTGTAAATATTGAAAACTTTTATTAGGTAATGCATATCGACTAGTAATCATTTCTATCATAACTAGTGTATAAGGCATTGCGGTAACAACATAAACAAATGCTTCAGATATGATAATAACCATTAATTCTCGATCTCTTCGTTTAATAACATTATTTACATTATGTTCACTTGGCTGAATACGATTACGTATATGTCTCATATTACGATATGTTAAGTAGCCAAATATACCTATCATGATAGATGGAATTAAACTAAAAAATATTATAGTATAAACATTATAAATTGTTGCATAAACGCCAAACATGCCACATTGTCCATCGACAATTGTGATCATTATTGGAACATGAATACAAATAAGTAACCAACAAATAATCGAAGAAAAGATAAGAAATTTTGCTCGTTTATAAGTACTAAATCTTCGAAGACTAGCACGATCGCTTGTAATCATAAAACGATCAATACATGACAATACAAGCATGGTTTTCGCTACTTGACCGAAAATATTTGTTAAGTAGAAACGTATTTTACAATACGCTAATGCATATATTGTTATATTTTTATATGAAAAAGGAATTATTTGAGTAAGACTTAGAAATGTTAAATAAAGATTATCCATTATAGCTAAATTTAAAATATAGGTTGAACATGCATTATAACGATATCGCATAAAGATCATAATAATAAATATATTACCAATATTTCCCAAAATCATCCAAGTTGGATATCCAAATAGAATAAGTTGATCTTGAATAGTAGTCATAGTTGTTGACGACATTTTTATAAGCCTCTATGGATAGTGTAGCGTATAGAAGATCTTATGCTTTATTCAGCAAGAGATATATTATTAGAAAAAAAGAAAATTGTTTTAGCAAACATAAAATTTTTCTTTGTGTCACCCTCTCTTCAATTTCTCGGTATAGTGACTGTTTTTAATCTTCTTCTTTAGTTTTAATTAGTTTTTCCTTTCAAAAACATGATGAAAAGTAATTTCCTTCTTCACCTTCATTGTTTGAGGAAGGGATTTTTGTGACAACTCTTTTTATCTATTATACTCTTTTCTTTATGTATCTTTTTTTCTAATATACTAAAGCATCACCCACACCCACACCACCCATATAGGCATATTGTGTTAGCGATCGACTGTGTCCAGTTCGTATAGATTACTTAGAGTTGTTCTCTACACGCGCTCGCGAATAAATAACAAAAATACAATTATTTCTATCTTGTGTGAAGAAAACATTTATTTACTTATTCAGAAGAAAACATTATCATTTTTATAATTCCTATATTCTCTTTCGCATCTTGTATACTGGGATGATTAGCAGACAATGAACGTTGTTTAATCTCCAAAACACGTTCAAAATATAAGAGTGCTTTCGAATATTCTTTCATGGTATAATACAGACTACCAATCTTGTTGTAGGAAGTAACCAAGTCAGGATGATTTGCAGGAAGAATTCTTTCAAAGATTTCATGTGTTTTCTCGTAAAATGAAAGTGCTGTCGAATAGTCTTTTGTGTTATAATATAACCTACCGAGATTGTTATAGAACGTAGCCAATAAAGGATGATTTGCAGGAAGATATTTTTCACAGATTCTGAGAGCTTTTTCGTGATATGAAAGTGCTTTCGAGTACTCTCTCATGCTATCATATACACCACCGATGTTGTTGTAGGAGGTAGCCAAATCAGGATGATCTGCAGGAAGAGTTTTTTCCCTAGTTCCAAGTGCTTTTTCGTAAAATCGAAGTGTTTTCGTATATTCTCCTAGCTCATTATACATCAAACCAATGTTGTTGTAAGGAATAGCCAACGACGGATGATCTACAAGAAGAGTTTTTTCCCAGATTCCAAGTGCTTTTTCGTAAAATCGAAGTGCTTTCGTGTATTCTCCTAGCTCACTAGACACAAAACCAATGCTATTGTAAGAAATAGCCAACGAAGGATGATTTACAGGAAAAGTTTTTTCTTCAATTTCAAGTGCTTTTTCGTAATATGAAAGTGCTTCCGTGTGATCTCCTGCCCCATTATACACCATACCCATGGTTTTGTAGAAATTAGCCAGCGAAGGATATTTTTCAGGAAGAGCGATTCCGTTGATTTCAGATGCTTGTTCGTAATATTTCATACCTTGTTCATAATCACCTTGCATATCTTTGACATATCCAAGATCGTTATAATAAATTGCTTTGTAAATCTCGTCCAATGGTTGTTGAAGTACTGCTTTATATAGTTCTTCAGCCTTATCGAGATGACCTGTTTCGAGTAATAAGTGTCCCAATTGTTGCCAAACTGTACCAGCTCCCACCTGGTGGTTTACATATTTAGTAAGTCGGCGAAGTTGTTCATCAGCAATCAGTTGAAGTTCAACTTCATAGAGTTGATTATTATTGTCCATTTGTTTAATTGCACCTATTCGAAATACGGTGTGCATGGAGAACAGAATTTCATCTTCTACTTCGTAATAACTAACCTCCTTAATAGACGCAAATGGTGTTGATGAGTCACGAGGAACAATAGTCATTATAAAAAGTATTCCCACCATATCTGCTTTTGTTGATCCACGTTCGGCTAAATCGAGGGAGACATCTTTGTTCATACTGGTAGATAAAAAATTATTAAAAGCCATGAGACCACCTTCTGTTTCTCTGAGTTTGTCGAAATGACTTTTCAACAAACCTTGTCCTCGATAAACTATAAAAGTCTTACCACGATAATTTGGAAGTTGTTGCTTATGTAACTGATCAATTTGTTGATGAAGATCATGTATAAAAAATCCTATTCTAACAATGATGTCGGCATCCAATGTTCGAAGGACTCGATTGAGCGTTTGATAGATAAAACACTCACGTGTATACCACCAGATTGCATGTTTCGGATCATAATCACTTTTAAATTCATCAATAACATTTAATTCATTAATATTACCCGAATAAAGATTGCAACAATACACAGCTAAGATCTCAATGGCTTGTTTTTGGTAATGTTCTCTTTCAAGGAGAATATCCTTGAATATTTTTATGTGTATGTAATTTGGATCCAGTTGATTCAACTTTGTAGCATACATCGCTTCGTTCGTTGTGACAAAGCTTGTAGGAATTGAATCCTGATTGACTTGTTTGATACTTGGTTTTAATGCATCACAAATATCCTTGATATTATTATGAACACTCTTAATTTTGTTCCAATCCTTAGTCCATTGTTGGTGGTAAGATACATCGTCGCAAAATATATAAATGCCATCTAATTTTGACACATCATGGATTTTAGGGACTAAATGTTGACCAAGTGATCCCGATATAATGGCGAAACTTTCTTCGTTCTTGAGTTTGTTGAGAAACTTGATACATTGGTCTGATTGAGTGCACATAATGACGTCGTTGACTACAGCTCGGAGCTGTGTCAACGTATTCTGACAATCCCTATTGGTTTGATCGATGCTTTCATCGACCCAAACCAACAGATAATTTTGAATCATATGCTGAGGTACTGATGGCGTTGTTGTCGTAACAGTGGTATTAGAGGCGTGTGGAATATAGGGCGAAGAAATCTTTTTTTTCGACTGTTTGCACCCCATATTGATGTGAATTTATAAGTAAGTGTTGTTATTTGAATGAATATAGAGAATACAACAATGGTTTATATAGGCAACGATTTGTTTTTTTCTCGATTATTCTGCAATTCACAATATTTGTATTATTTTGTTGACATAAAAAGAATCTCGCCACCTAGTTATTATTAAGAACACACTATGTTGAAAAATAACAGAAAGAGAGAAATTAACCAAATCCGAACAAACAAAATACAAAGAAGTCAGCTAGGCATGTTAATTGTTTTTTTTTCTTTCCAAATTTCTCTTATTTATGTCTGCATTATTATTTCAGTATGTTAATGCTTAGATAACACTTCGACAGCGAATTTTCTTTTTTTTCTTTTCTTTCAGTCTCTCTGATTCATCAATGAGATTCACAACATTATTTTGTACACATTGTAGAACTAGTGGACACATCCTATCTTATATTAAGAATAGATTATATACGTATTTTGTTTTGCTCATATTCGTAGACTATATGTAGTTAAACATTGGTAAGAATTTGTTCAAAATACCAATTGGCGTTCTTTGCTTAATTATAGAGAGTATCCATGCGTCTTCTGTCAATTCAAAATCATTCTGCTAAAAGAAAGTTTGTCAATGTCACAACTATTATTTAATGACAAATGATTGTATTCTTTTTTAGATGCTTTTAAAAATGTAAATACAAAGTGCGAGAGAGACCACCAAAAAAAAGTACATTGACAACGAACAAAACAAACTTTCATATATGATTAATATAGTTGCCATTTTTTTCTCGTTCTTGTATACACACACTCAGTGAAAATGAAGCATGTGTAAATAAGTTAGTTGCAAAGAGAAATAAAATGAATATTTTTCGTTTTGCCTTGTTGTATTTCTTCAAAACTTTATTTTTTCATTGAGTGTGTCGAATAGATTTGAAAAAAGAACTCAATATTAAGATATTTCTTTAGTTCATTGAGACAAACTTAAAGACAATAATATCCATGGAAATATTTAATATGCTACTCAATACATTATTCATCTTTTAAATTATATTATTAGTTGCTCAATACGTTTATAAAATTAGGGAAAAAGAAAAATTTCTCATTTTTCCTAGGTAGAGCAACAAAAATCTTGGAGTTTTGTAGAGTTACTTCTGTGTAAAGGGTGTGGGTGTGGGTGTGGATATCATTTCCATTTCACACCCACGCCCATCTTCGTTCAATCTATTCAAATAGTTGTTGAAGGTTTTCATTTTTTTGGACAATAATTCTGAAGTTTTATTCTGCAGCCAACAGAGCATAAATTGAATAGATAATAAAATAAATGCATATTAGATTCTATTAGAATAAATAGACTTTCCTCATGAAATCTTTACTCAAGTCATCGTCATCATTACCATCATGCAACACTCAGTACACATTATTTTGACTTTATATGAAGAAAATTTTATTGAAGAGATAACTTTAAGATTTTCTGTATTTTTTTTCTGGTTGGACGCTATAATGCGCAATAGATTTAATTACTTATTCGAGAAAATGCAAATGTGTTAGTAGATAGTCATAGAGTTGTCATCGATATACGAGTCTATGTCTTTTCCAGTATGCGAAATGAATCTCATTTGATACTGGATTGATCTTGTTCCAACAGGAATAGGGTATGAATTTGAGTATGAGACTCAACTAGAACCGGCTGCCTGCTCGGGAGAAGTCGCATTGCTTAGAATACCATTGGAGGCATCAAGAAAGTACAAGGCCACTGCGGCACCGTCGTTATTCGCCCCTTGTGGAAAGACACGGGTCCAAAAGAGCAAATCGACGGTAAGACTGCCTGAATCGATCCGTGATGTTTTAATCAATGGATTTGCACCTACGATAACAACAGTCTGCGTGAGTGTGCCGAGTGAACCAATGTGCCCACTAAATTGATATGACCTAGTGCGAGGATTGTAACCGGAACCAAATCTGCTCATATCTAGTTTCGGATCTGAGTAGCCCCCTACGATCCAAGGCGAGAGTACACCATCTTCTCCGCCGGGATTTATCAGCAAGTTAATACCTATAAAAGAGAACATATTCTCAACTTAGATGTTATGGTACGTACCTACAACTTAACACATGGTAAATCATAATATAAATATTATTCTCATTTGATTAAACTATAAAAGCCTAAGCATTTTATCTATTATTTTAATGAGTTCTTAGTTCTTCGTCAGTAGGTGTTCACTAACGTTGAATACATGTATAGATAACGTAAGAACGACAAAGAAATGTCTCATCATACTAGTTCGACGTACTAATGAATATAAATCTGACTAACTATTCTCTTACTTGCTATCGTAGGACACACTGGTTCATCAATCATTGACACCGGATAACATACAGGACGATCATGACATCGAGGATGTCGAACACATATAGTATCAGATTGATCGCATGCATTATTCGAAGAGTTACATAGTGCAAATTGAGAACAAGTCGGCCATAAAAAAACCGCAAATACTAATATCATCAGCATTTACCCTATGAAAACAACCTCACGCACTATTCATCGAACATCGACCATATTGATCAATGCCTTCACAAATATGAGATTTCACTAGAATTATAACGAAAGAAACTAATAGATAAACATCTGCAATAGAATGAATATCAAACCTGTGTCACTAAAATAGAAAACAGATATATAGATATTAGAGAAATGAACGAAAAAAAAAGAATATTATTTGCGTGAAAAGAATAAAAATAAAATAACAAATAATATTTCTAATCATCTTGTGTATTGAAAAAAGGCAATATCATAAATGAATCTTTTTGCTCTTTCGAACATATGTATAGTGATTTAAGCCATATTAATAGAAAAAACAGAAACTTGATATTTCTTCTAGTGTCTCTAAAGTATACTAATTCTATTCAATATAAAAAATAGAATATATATGGGATTACAAAATAGACAAATCATCATATAATAGATGCACGATTTAATATATTTTCTACTTGTTCGAACAAAAAAACTTCTATTCAATCTTGTCTTTTAATTTGTACAAATTAATAACAAATGAAAAATGTTTTAAAGAAATATTTCAGATCACTTTCACCATATATTTTTAATACAAACAACTTTAATGTAGTGAGTGCAGGTGGGAGGATAAACTATTTTAAGAGGGGGATTGGCGTATAGAAAAACTGTTTTTCGGCTTGCAACATTTGATAAACCCGTACTCCCTTCAAGTATTTACATTTTTCAGAGAGAGACCAACCGCCCCTCTGAATTCGTCACTGAGGTGGATTTAGGTGTATCATATCTAACCTACCCACACCCAACACATCTAATAAAAAGAATTAATTTCTTTTCTTCTAATACCATAAATATAAATCTCGATTAATAAATTTAATAAAATAATGTTCAAGTAAATTATCTGATTTGATTAAAATATTTAATTTGTTTGAATAAGTTTTCGGTAAATTTTTAATACATAAAAAAACTAGATGAGACATTTTTAATATTAAATATCGCATTATTGAAATGTTTTTAATTTTGAAAATAAATGACTAAAAAAATAAATTTTCTATTAATGAACAATAACAATGAATTATTTCCAAATTTTCAATTTCATTTTTATTTGATACAAATCGATAAATATCACTTTGTTCAATTAATTTTAATTGATCTTCATCAATTGAATGATAATACCCATTTGAATGTTTTTAAATTCAATGTAACATTAATTAAATTTAAAATATCTTTAAAACGAAATTTTTTTGAATTAATAATTAATTTGTTCAGTTGTATTAAAGGAAGAATTTTATTAAGAGATGTTGAAATTGAACCGCAATCATGAATTGTCAATTCATTAACATTAGGCAAATAAACACTACGATCGATATAAGTTTGTGTATCATGAATGGAAATTTGTTTAACTGATTTAAAACTATCTAACATTATAATCATGTTCCCAATAAAATTCATGAGTTTTCTTTCTAAAATAAGAAAAATTTTATTAGTAGAGATTGAAATTACGAGAAAAAGAACTAAAGATATGACGAAGTTTATCTCGTAGGTGTGGATGGGTGAGTGTAGGTGGATGAGTCTTTTAAAGAAAGAGAGATTCATTCACACCCACACACCCTCAACGTGTTTAAATAAACATAATTAATACTTACCGATATGGATTTGTTGAAAAAAAGAGTCCATCATCTGACTTGAGTCTATCATTACGTTGATTATGAAAAAACCATTATTTATTTGCCCAGAATTTTGAACCAAATCGCCCACTATAACAAGCACGTATGAAATTTTTCATTACTCCACTATAATGATATTGAAAATCAAAAATACGTAAATTTGGTATTGTAGAACAAATAAATTCTTCCCATTGTTCTGCATAGAAAAAATTTGGTGAACTATTAAATATTGAAACTGTTAATATTTCAATATATTTAAAGAGATTGATTTTAAATCTTTAAGTTCAATTGGATTAAAATTTATTTCCAATCAATAATCACTCAATCTAACAAGACGATTAATTCATAAAGAATGAAGTTTTGGAAAACAACCATTAATAATAAAATTTTCAATTGAACTTTGTTGACATTGATTAAAATCAATTAATTTTATTTCGTTTGCTCGATATGTTATATTGACAAAATTTTAAAACGACATATTTGAATAAATAATATAGATGGATTTTCAATATGATCAATTGATGAAAGAATTAATGTATGTAATTTAGGTAAAAAAATTAAATATTTAAGAATATTATCAAATATTATTTTTTTTAATTTGATTATAAGTAAAAATAAGTTGTGGAGGAGAAAATATTAAATCATTTGTAATGGATTTATTAAATAAAGAATTTTTATTTGTTTCAAGAACATTTTTATGATAATATTCAAAATCTTTTTTTGATATATTCGAAAGATTTAATTAAAATGCATTATTCAAATTTAAATATAAATTTTCAAAACAAGGTCTATATATAAAATTAAATTAAATAGTAAAATTCAAAAAAAACAAGCAAGAATATATATATAGACATCAAGAGAGAAAGAGACACGTGAAATCATGTTTATTCTTTTCTATATGTATCGGGTGGCGCAGATTAAATGGATCTCTCAGTATTTTGCATTTTTTTCACTTATAATTTATCATAGACAAAAATGTTTTTTGTAGAAAGATTCCTTGTGAAATTCTCTACAAAACGTATATATTTTTATTATTTTAAATACCATCCATTATTTTGAGAAATGCGGTACAAACGGTTGGTCGAAGAAGCGTAACTTTCAAACAAAAGGTTTTAGTACGGTTATCATATCTCAGAATTGCAGAGCTATGGAGAAATGTGACTTGGTAGGTTTTGTAGAGAAAAGTTTGTTCTACAACACAGTATAGTCAGATTATCAAATACATTTAGATACTATGAACAAATGTTGATAGAACATTGTATAGCATACTCATATACAAAAAAAATATTTTATATTTTTTAAGATCAATATGCCTTACAATATTCTATCGACATTTATTCGTAATATCCGAGTGTATGTGAGGAACCTCCTAAAGGATTTTGTAGAGCAAATCTCTCTCTACAAAACTGACTATTTCATACAACTATATAATATAACCATTTTGAGATATATTAATCGCTTTTTAAACACAGTCATCATTAAAAACCTGTACTTCATACTTGTTCAGTATTTCGCACATAACGTCGTCATTTTTCAATAAAGTTTTTAAAGTTTTTTTACCAAAATAATCAGTAAAAAATTCTCTACAAAACTGAGGTCTGAAAGAAAATTTTTCTGAACACTTTCGTTATTTCGAGTGACTTCTCCCGGAACTATCTACTAGAAACATCTTGTTTGAAAGTTACGCTTCTTCGACCAACCGTTTGTACCGCATTTCTCAAAATAATGGGGGCTATTTAAAATAATAAAAATATATACGTTTTGCAGAGAATTTCACAAGGAATCTTTCTACAAAAAATATTTTTGTCTATGACGAATTATAAGTGAAAAAAATGCAAAATACTGAGAGGTCCATTTAATCTGCGCCACCCGATATATATCATCGTTATCATATGATTTATAAATAAAAGAATATATTTAAGATGAAGACAGGGATGTGTGTATAGTCTACTTTGTCTACTACCACATCGATACCCTGAAAAAATGTATTTAATTAGAATAAAAAACATTCGTATGTCGAAATCTGATTCAGGATAATACATAAGTTAAACAATAATATAAAAGAAAGAGTATTCCTAAAATACACAGTAAATATCCAATAATATTTCTAATAAAATATAAAAAAAGAATAACGACAAGTACAATCAATATACCACGTATTGCTTTTCTTTCTTGTCTGAAAATTTCATTCCTATCTCGTACATACGGACGAACTGTAGTCGGTATTAGACGTGAATTATAAATTTGTTGTTCATTATTTTGTATTGGGGCATGATAAGTAAATTGTTGTTGAATAGGTTCGACAATAGGTGTCACTCTTCTCTGTGAAGTTGATGTTTCTAAAGAATTATATTTTGTTCGTATTGTTCTTTTTATGCTATTGAAACGATTTTGTATTGAATCTGAGAAAATTGATATTCGACTTTTCGCGCATCGTTTTATATGTTTTTTAAAACGATTTCGTTGGATTCCATTCTTGTGACATTGAAGACATCGAACAGGAAGACAATCAAGTTGATTGCAAATATTCAAATCAGTTATTTTTGTTAAAACATAATTTGTATCAACTTGACGACGACATATAGGACACGATGCATTTTTTTTAATCCATGTATCAATACAAACTTCACAAAATGTATGTTGACAATCGAGGATCACTGGACTTTGAAATGGTTGAGCACATATAATACATTTTAATTTATCATCGATGGCATCTTCATTCATATATTCATATTTGTCTAGCGATAATTTCATATCTAGACAGAAAGAATAAAGTAACTGGCAAAAATAATGCAATGTAAATGGCAGTATGTTTGTTTTTATGTTAAGAGAAACTGACGACATTTGCACATATTATTTGGCTTACTACCATATAGAAGGAATCTTCCAGAGGAAAGAAAAAAACGTGGCGAGAACGATGACTCATCATTTATGCATGAATCATTCTTATAGAACGTATCTACCATAGCTTTCAGCTATAATATTGAGTCATATACATATGCTTTGATTTATGTAGGGTTTGATCATGCGTCTTTTCTTTTCTTTTCTATTCATCCATATTAGCTATACATAAATCGATAATTTTCACAATGTCGTTTGATATTCAGAATGAGTGTGGATGTTTCTTGTTTGTCTACAGCGACACACTCGAAATAAAATCTTCTGTATTAGTTAACTGAACATATGAAAGATTATATTTAATATTCAAGATTCATTCGATTCTATCTGATATAGACTAGATTTGTCTATTTCTCGAAAAAAAAGTCTTCTAATGCAAAATTAAATAAAACAAGAATTAGAATTTTTTATTGGTCATTGGATATGTGATAGTATGTTTGTCAAATTTATAAATCGGTGAACCGGCTTTGCTACTTGCTAATTCATACGATATTTCAACTCGTTTTAAAAGTGCCAGTTTTTTTCTCACCAGGTAAAATAGTTAATGGAAGTGAATCAGGAAGATTCTTAAATATGACCTCTCCGTGATTTCTTGTGGATAAATAACTCGATGAATACCTGGTTTTAATCGATTTCCTGTTATTCGAGATGCTACTTCTCCTAACCAAATGACACCAATATTTGATTTTAATGGTACATCTATCCATTCATTATTTGTCATATCTTTCAATTGAAGTTCTTCATGTGTTGATAATATACTAATTGAAAGTAATCCAGAATCATAATGTGGAACACAATTGACTTCATCAATTGTTTGTCCATTTGATGGTGGTGGTTGAAAACTTCGATTAGTATTGAAATAAGATACAATATCATAATGCATGTGGTACTAATCTTTCATGTGTAAATTGATTATAATAACGTCCCGTCAATAGTTTAATTTCTTCTTTATGGATCACTTTCAAATAACCATATATTCCTGTATCCAAACGAAAAAAGTGTCATTTCTTTGAGCAATTTTGGATCTGGAATAAGTTCTTTTGGTAAATAGACAAAACACCAACCATTCAATTTAAATTCATTTTCCATTTGTCTTATTTCAGTAAAATCATTCTCATTTAATATTTTATTTAAATCGATAATTACCTGAGATTTTTTATCAGTCGAAGACATTCTCAAGTAATTGCTTCTTTTTGTTTATATAGCAGTTATTTCAAATTTTCTTCAGTATACAAACAGAAAAAAATATTCTTGCACAACAACTTGTTCTTTCATACTAAAGTCGTTGATTGTGTAATTATTTCTTATTCATAACAAGAACTATAGAAAATACCACGATACCTCGCCCGAGATCAAATCATTTTATTTCTTTTTTTTTATTTGTAATAAAGTCGAATAATATTACTAGAGTTTCGCTATACTCAAAAATGATTACTTGTGAATCATCATATAATATTGACATTATGTTGAGAGGTGTATGTAGTGGCGACGCTAGGGAAGGGCGATGAGGACTCAACTCTCTGAGTTTCTTAAATAAATTCAAGATTTAGGGAGCTAAGCCCCTCCAAAGTAAAAGTCCTGATGCCGCTTCTAGGTATATATATTCTACTTCATTCACATTATATTCTTTTCTGTGTACACATTCTCACCCACACCTTCTCAAGATGTATATAAAGTATTTTTATCTAATTTTAATAGATATGAAAATGATTAAATTATAATTCGAAGAAAACTTTCGTTATGATAGTGTGTTTTCTCGAAAAGTATTGTATAAGCATCATAATATTAAACCAAAGCAAAACTGATAAGAGCATTTAAAAATGTTTATTACAATTCGCACTTAGTAAAACTTGAATGGTTCGGTTAATTGGATCGATCACAACCAAATCATCTTTCCCATCTTGATTTAGATCAGCCACTTTGAGCGATCGAAAACTTTGATCGGTACAATTTTCTCCAACTTGACAGGAAATTTTCTCTTCAGAAAATATTCCAAGTTTTGTACCGAGATATATACCAATAGTCTGATTGGAATGTAATATAGCCAAATCATCAATAGAATCATTATTGAAATTTATTCGCACTACAGATATTGGACAATTGTTTATATGATAGATTTGTTGTAAGAATTTACCATCTCCTGTAGCAAGTAGAACGTGCAATCCATTAGATTGAGGAGCAACAAGTGCTATATCATCGAAATCGTCATCGTTGAATCGACCTCGAATGACTGATTGTGGAATTCCGTGAATATTAGCACTGAAGTCTTTAGACTTGAATTTGTCATCTTCTGCATAATTGATAGCAGAAAAAATAAAGACTTTGTTCTCACCACTACAAAAACCTATGTCATTTTTTTTTCCGTCATGATCAAAATCACCAAAAACAACTGACTCGATATCCCATGTATTGACTAAATTTAAAGATTGAGATTGATAATCAGATCCATTACCACGATTCAGTGCAGCGACGAAATAATCACCTCCAAAATGAGGATCGTAGCAATCAAAAAGTAAATCAAGACATCCATCCCCATTTAAATCACGAACTTCTAGTAGGCGAGGTTGATAAACCGTAGAGCATGGAATCAACATTGTGTGAGGTACTCTGTTGAATGAACCATTTAATGCAGTACCGAAAAAGATCACTATTTGGTTAGTTTTTGTTAATGTTACAGCTAGAAAAAATAATAAAATAATCCAACATAAAATAAACTGCCTATTATATCCAACATAGTGTTGAAGAAGTTTTCAAGAATGTTATCATCGAGTGCCTTTACAGACAAAATAAATGCAAGCATCATTCTCAAAATAGTTCGAGAAGTTTTGAATGAGAAATGCATAGTTTTCTAGATTTAAATAGACTTATCATCTGCATGTTGACATAGCAGAACAATTTTAACTATATTATGAAAACAATTATCGATGTTAAATGAACTAATTAACTAAATACTAGAGGGTGTGGGTGTAGGTGTGGGTATTTGTCCTCTTAACTCATACCCACACCTACACCCTATTTTCCTTTTCTACATTTTTACTTTCTACGTTTTCCTGTTTTCTCTTTCGACATTTTTTTTATGCGTTTTCCACCAAACCCTTATGAACGAATCTGGATACTAGCTTTGTCCTGCAATTGATAGATGTCTATCAAAATCGGTAGTTGGAGACGGTTACTGGGTTCATAAGTCGAATTTCTGGCATTTTTTCTAAGGATTACCATTGCAAATTCTCATAATACTCTTTGAGGAATTACTAATCTATGTATATAGATTCAACAATATAGAGAGATGTTTACCTATGTCCAAAAATGTATCATTGTTAAGATCACCGGATGCTATTCCCCAAGGGTAACTTTCATCGCCGGTTGAATAAACTTGTTGTGGTCGGAACGTTCCATTCCCATTTCCAAATAAAATACTAAATGTGTCATCTCCATAGTTTGTTACTGCTAAATCTAAAAATGAATCGCCATTTAAATCACGTAGAATAAATGACTTGGCATCACGACCAATGGGATAAGTTTCAGATTGATACATTAAAGTCATATAAATATTTTCTAAAAAAACGAATTAGCAACCCTACAACCCTCAAGATGTTTCTCAACACTTGTATGCTAACCTGCTGATGTTGTCGTTGATTTTGTTATTTCCGTAGTGGTGATTAAAGTGGTGATTGATGTAGTTATTGGTATATATTTCGTATCTTTTTTTCCCGTCGAAATGACTGAAGCTACAACTATTGCAACTATAACTAATAGACATAGACAGATTCCAATTATTCGATCAGTTCGATTATTAGATCTTCAATAATAATAAATATATGCTTCAAAAGAAAAATTGCATGTAATTTTAATACTTACGGTTCGATTTGCTCTTGAATTGGATCAACATTGATCTAAAAGATGAGTAAATAAAATAGAAAGTCAACTAATGACAAAAAAACCGAAAAAAATAACCTCGATTGCTGTAATGGGAACATTCGGAATAGTATTGAGAGTGACATCATCTGAGTTGGTCTCAGCTATATTTGGATATGGTGCTACTCTTCTTTTCCTTCTACGATCAACTAATTTGATGACTATCATTCCTACGAAAGACACAATATATCGTAGTAGTGTTGACAAACCGCCCAAAATTGACAACGTTTTAGTTAGAAAATAAAGCCCATTAAATGGCAATGAACGAGAATATTGACAGAGTTTAGGAGCACATTCTTCATAATAGTGATCAAATGAAACATTCTGAACCATTTTTCGACAAAAAATTCAGCAAGAATCGTTTCCACTGTTCGATTAGAAGAAGATGATGACGATGGAAATAATGTCTTAATTGGAAAAGGTTTCGCATAGTAAATCAATGTTTGCAGTAGAGATAAGCATGTTTGATTATAAAAACAAGAGAAACTCGATTGTAACATCGCATCGAGCGGTAAACATCCCCTGAGAAAGCTTGGAAGAGTTTGGTTCATCAATTGATTCGATACTATATAAAGAAAAGTCGAGAATTTGTTGCAATCTGATTGTAATACACATGAACAATTATTCTCATTATATATTCGTGGCAAGGTTAAAGCATACAGTTGATCCTGATAAAGCTTTGGATCTAGAAATTGGATGTAACTACCTGCAGAAACATTATAGATCTGATTGACAATGAATTCCCAGTTGGATGATTGAGTTGTTGCTAGTTGATTTGCAAGATTTGTTACTTGCATTAATTTGAATAGCAAAACCAGTTCATTGCTTATTGTTCTCTTAAATTCTTCAATAAATCCATTGATTTGAACATCGAATTCATCAGGAATGATCACACGTGCTGTTACGAAATCTCTTTGTAGCCATACTGATAAGGATGAATTTAGAAGATTTTTAGATAGTGAACACATGTTTGACACCAGCTTCATTTGGGACTGGATCCAAGCACGAAAATCGCCCTCGTCAAAAACCGGAGTGCTCTTTTCATTGTTATCTAAATTACCTGGGTGATCTTTCTTACTCCATACAGTATCATATCGATCGGATGAAAAAAAATCACTCGAACAAATTGGATGACGTTGAGGTTCGATCTGTCTGATAAATTTTTCATATTTCACTGCGAGATTACTGTAGGAACATTGAAATGTTAATGGATATTGATTATATAATTCCAAATATTTTGATATAGATGGAGATTCAATAGTACCTGATGTTGTTTCTTTTGTTAGCGATGTATAAACAACAAGGATTAATAAAGATATAAGTAACAAAGTGAAATAAATTCGAGTTAATCGTCGGTTTCTACGAAGATTATTTAGAGTTTGTGAAGAGGGAATTGCAGGAAAGATACTAAATTCAACAATACTCTTTTTGATGTATTGGAATGAAACACGGAGCCGATCATAAATGACTAAAAAGAAGAATTTCATGCAGAAAACATGGAAATGAATAATATCGCAAAGAAAAATATGGAAAAAGAAATTGATCATAATGGAGGGTGTGGGTGTTCTATTTTATTCATATCCATACTTACTCTCTAGAAAAAACACTGCTTCGTCTCAAAAAGGCAAGTATACGATGCACACTTTGCAGCAGAAATCTATGTTTTCTTTCTAATACATAGAAAACGATTTTTAACTGCAAAACTACCATTTAATCATACGTAGATCATGATCTAACAGATAAAACTTGTATCTATGTTTATTCAGATGATATGAACTTTGTTTTATACTCGATTTCTTTGTGCTCTATGAAGCTTCGTTTTTGTGTGTTTGGCCATCACGAACTTGGTAGCAAAAAGTACTAACCAATCCTTTCCGTGTATGGACATTTCAATTTTTGTTTGAAATTAGATAGTGAAATAGTTTTCTCATGTCGATCAGAACCTTCTGATTTTACTCTTGATTTTTCAATAGAAGTGTCCGGGCCAACTCCTGTTTTTGGTGAGAAATTTCTATTTTTCGAAATTTGGATTTGGCAACCCTAGTGTGGGTCATGATGGTTTTAAACTGGATGTAGTGTCCGACTGTGGATCATGATATTGTCAAAAACGAGTGGATATAGTTAAGGGTGTATTGTTACAAATGTACGATGGATATAAGTGCTTATATTTAGAAGGTGTCCATGGAGAAAAAAACGTTTTCTAGTCATAACAAAATGTTAGTACAGTATGCAGCTAGTATATTCACTCATGAGAGAAAATCTGATTGATTTATTTACCTCTTCTGGTAGAGACCGTTTCTACAGATGATCTGATTGTATTTTGTCGCCGAGAAATGATTTTAGCCCAAATATAAGATGATAGTTTGATGAGATATGGTACCAATAATTTTAGAAGAAAATTAAGAGCGCCTAGTGTTCCGGTAATTCTTGTAACAGCATCGATTATATCGAATCGACTTAGATATGAATATAATAATAATAATAATATAATAATAACGTCCCATAGGCTTATCGCCCTTAGGGGCCGGCTGCGGTTATTATTAGAGTTTTTCCACATGCAGCCGGGTTCTGTCGTCTTTTTCTTTTTACAGACGGCGGTATCTGCACCCTCTTCCGTCCAACATACTGACTAAAGATAACCAGTATGAATGACTCATGTGGAATGAGTCATTTGAGACAACTTAGCCGTTAGTGACTTGTCCAGGGTCATTCCATGGATGATGTTACTGAGGTTTGAACACAGTACCTTGTGGATACGTGCCGAACAACGTAACCACTCAACCATGGCGGCTAGATATGAATATTGACAAGATAAAGGATGACATTGATTAAAATAAGATTCATATGAGCTTTGATTATTAGACCATGTTCGAATAAAAAGTTTCTTTGCCAACATATCGATTGTATCGTATTGACTTTCGTTCATTGTTAACGATGATAAACGAAGTGTTGAAAAATTTGTTGGTGAAACTAGCGAATTAATTTTACGTGTAATCCCAAATAGACATGTCGCATCGTAGAAACATTCTAATGTCGATATTAAAACAGAGCGAACAGGAGATACCGTTAGTCTCATTCCTGGAATAGTGTCTCGATCGACATGTTCGTTCCAAACAAATGTTTTTAGAACACATTCGTTGGAATAGTTAAGTAGCAAAAAGGAACATTCGCAATTATCTTCATTTTTGCCTTCTCCGCCGGCCATACATACAGGACGATCATTTAGAGCAGTTGCCTCAGATTTTAAGCGAAAAACCGTTTTGTTGTGAACATCTCTGTCGGATCGAAAAATAGAACTGAGTGGTACAATCAATTGATTAATTTCAGGATTTGCTTCTATTAGTTGTAATGTCCGTCGATATGATTCTGGTACTGTTCTTTTGAATTGTTCAAGAATTAATTCAGATTCGATTTGAAAAGAAAAATTATCGATAACTTTAGGAGTAATGAATTTTGTTCGATAAAATGATTGAAGGTTGTCTTCGATAGTTTGCTTAGCTACACGACAAAGTGTAGATAAAAGCTGAAAATGCATTTGAGATTGAAAACGAAAATCGTTGATCCAAAATACTCTCGTGGGAAATTCGACAAATTGAAGTTGGATCCAACGAGCAGTAATGAATTCAGATGAACAGATTTCATGGTATTCAACTTTAATATCAGAAAAAAATTGTTTATATTCGAATGAAGTTCGACTACATGGACAGTCAAGTGTTAATGGATATTCCTTACTCAATTGAGTAAAAGTTTTTAACGATGGTGATTCAATAGTCTTACTGATTGTAATAAATTCAAGAAACACATAGCAGATCAGAGTAATCGATGTTACTAATAACAAAACTAAATATAAGCGAGTTGTATGACGTTGTTGTCGAAGAATAGTTTCATTTGTTGAACGTGGAATACTTTTGAATAGATTAAATTCAAGTAGTTTTTGTTTGGTCCGTTGGAATAACATTTTCAGACGTGTACTTCTTGAAATTGCCGAAAAAAAGTTAGAACACTCGATGATAACGCATAAATATTCATGCAAAAATTCTCAATTTAGAGTTTCAGTGAACTCGTGATGACATGTTTGAATAAAACTGAGCTGAAAAATAAGAGTGTTGAGATCCTTGTGGGTGTGTGTGAAAGTGTGGGTGGAGGTGTATGTGAATGTGAAAAGGATAGTACCCGCACTCACCGCACCCACATCCATTCTCACACCCGTGCCCTGACTGAGTCCGAGCCCGAGCCCGAGTCCGAGAGTCTCGGTGTCGGCTCGGGCTTGGTACATCCCTACCTATACGTTTTTCAAGTATGTTAGTGTTTTGGTATACTTTTTGTTTTCTTTGATGACAAATCAAAATGAATTGCGGACTTTGATAGACGGGAGCATCCATCGAGCTGTTCCGATTTCGGGATGATACAGATTCTGAATTCATTGAAATTGACGTGAGACAAAAGAAAAAATGCTTAGGCTGTACGATGATATGTGAGCGAAGATATGAAGACTTTGGTTATGAAAGCCCAGCAGATCGAATGAGAAGGAAAATTCTGTTGGAGAATCGACGGGTTATTCAAATGACTGAGCAATGAGGACGAGTGGAGTTATGAGACAGAAGTCATGAGATGAGGTCGTCAGAGTATGAAAAATCCTTACCTCACATATCTCTGATAGCTAATAATTTATATTGAATATTTCATAGTTCATTAAATAAATCTTACCTGGCACAGTTTCCACTACGACGGTTTGTGTCGTGGGTGATGTTTGTTTACAAATCTTGTTCCGAACCCTTGGCCATATTTTTACAATAAGAATCGGTACGAGAATTCCTAATACTGTCGATGCTCCCTCAAAGAAGCCAATCAACGATAGAAGAATCTCCCAAAAACTATGATGGTGAATTTTTCTATAGGAACATGATTTAGGTGCACATTTCTGAAAATATTTATTGTATGATGTATTGTTTGACCAAGATTCGACGAACATTTGACTAAGTAATTTTTCAATTTTCCAGTGTGAATTCGATGAATTGAGTTTTTGAAAACTTCGTGATGAATTATTCAGCCTATTGATTAATGTCTGATTGTCGAATGCTTCGAGAGTAGAATTCATCAATGCATTTAACATATAACAACCAGTTTGGAAACCAGGTAGGACATTATTATCAAATGTTGCCAGACCCATACAGGTAGTAGCAGTTGAACTTGAACAGACACAGGTGGAATTATCTGTAAATGTGTAGTTGACTCCAGGATAAGGAACAATACCGCGCACGAATTCTTTTATCGTATATTGTGTAACTGGTCGAACACTTGTAATTGAGGCACCAGCCATGAACAAACTCTGTGCTGTTGTATCTTGCATAAAGTTAAATGCTCTTAGAAATGTCTTGGGTGTTTCTTCGATGAACTCTTTGATAAAGGAGCCGATTTGACCTTCAAAAATGTCTGGTGAAACTAGTAGAGATTGAACAAAATTGTTGTAATTAAATGATTGAAGACTCCTGCTGATTGTGTCGTTTGCTAATTCACAGAGCGAACGAAGTGTTTGAAACTGAAATACACCTATTCGACGAAAGTCAATTGGAGTTGAATTGTTCCAACTTTGCTCATATAAACGAAACAAACGATTAATCCATTCATCTGATACGAGAGCACTTTCGCACAATTGATGATAAGTGGGTACAACCTCAGTAAATACTTCATACTTTACTGCGATATTTGTACACGGACACTGTAATGAAGCTTCTTTTTGTATACGATCATATTCAATTAATGAAGGAGATGAAATGAAAATGTCTTCTGTAAAAAATACAGCACTATAATATGCAAGAAAAATCATCATTGATGTCACGAGAAGAACTAAGTAAAGACGAGTTGATCGACGTTCATTTTCTATAATAGGTTCATCTTCGCTGGCAGTATTGAATAAATTCAATCGATATAGGTGAGATTTGAGAAAGTTAAAGAGACGACGTAGATCCTCTTTACTTGGTATTTTCATCTTTGGCAATGTTTAAACGTCAAACTTTTATGTTAATCTAAAACGAAGATTGATTGAATAATTTCTCAAGAAATTATCGATTCTGTTTGACTTTTGTCATCAAATGTACCAGCATTATCATCACAAAACAAGGGTGTGAGTGTCGATATTGCTGTTGTATCTTTATCTATACCCACACCCACCCTCAAGAAATGATGGGAGATGTAGACAGGGATGTGCTGGAAAGTTTTTCATCTATCACCAGCGATGGGCAACTTCAACTCCGCCGCAATTCTATACGGGTGGCGTGTTTACTTCGCTCTAAAATCCTCTCTATTTTGAGAGCCCAACTCCGATGTTGAAGTTGCTTATCTCAGGTGTTTTATCAAACCTAGACGAAATTTCATCCAACCCCCCCCCCCACTTTACCGCTCCCTCTCAGACTTCCTCTGAACCTAAAAGAGTGCCGTAAGAAGTTTAGTGTTGCTAGCCATCGCAGGGATCAAATACGTAATGAATAAACAAAGATTCTCATTTATATATACATTTACAGGAATGATGGTGGAAGAAATATTTTTTGTTTTGGAATCTGTGAGTCTTTTGGACTGTCCGTTTTTATGAGAAAAGTTTTATCACTTATGTGGCCAATGTCGTAAAGTTGTAGTAGTTCAAATAAAAGGAAAATATGTCCTGTTTTGGCTGATTTTGTTCAGATACACCGATCTTAATTGGGACGAAACTTGTGGTCTTTTTAAATATCAATATAAAAGAGTCTCAGTCAAAGACTTGCAAGGTATTGCTATATCTGTTGTTTTACTACCATTATCATTTTCTCATCGTTGTACTTCAATTATTCATTACATTCTCTTCATTAAACTTTACTTTTTTCTCTCTTTCTTGTGTAAATGGATACTCCTATCATGTTGTTGGTCATCCATGGAACTTCTCACTCAATGGTCATTTTCCTTTTGTTATGACTATATATGTTACTATTTCTCCAATAAAGAAGAAAGATGTGAGTGAAAGTTATAGTTGGCACAGCTATTCATGGTCTTTTCACTTACCCACAGCTGAATTAACTGCACAACGAAGAAAAAAAAATAGAAATTTCTTCATAATATACTAATGCAACGGTGCATTCAGTTTATATGCTTACCTCTGACGTGTAAAACTTTTTTTTATAGATTTATACTGAACAGTCAGATAGGCACAGCGTTTCAGCGCATTTTCTCTATTTTTAAGAGAATAAATGGGCGAGAAAAAAATGTTTTTACTGCCGAGCATTTTCTTATCATTTATGTTTTTTTCGAGAAGCGGAAAGGTAGAATATGATTTTCACTAATACTTTTTTTATATTTGTGCATTTGATTAAAATTAAAAAAACGGAAGAGTGTGAGCGTTGAAATAAATATAAATACTATTTATCTATGTTAATAATTTTATTTCCGTTTGCTAACTATGTAAAACAGAGCTGATATAATAAATTGGAGAATATCATGAATTTCAAATATACGAGTTAAATATGCAGTCGATTAGAAACTTCGATATTGAGAAATTATACACAAGTAATCAATTTATTATCAAATCAGTATTAAAATTTTTTTAGAGACTGGTATGATTTTCTATTAAATATCAAAATATTATCTTTGCTGTATAAAACTGTCTCAGAATTATCCACAACAGATGGTGATGATTCATTGTGTTACGTATTTCATATGACTATGGTCGTAACTAGAATCATGTTTGTAGTTCTTTCTATTGATTAGTCATATCTAGTAGACTATAACTGAGTGAAGATCAAGTGCTAATCATTTTTGTTTTCTTGAATGTTCTATTTTGATCTCCAATTAAATCAATGAATATCATAATCCTTTATCTATTCTGTAAAATAACTGACATCAGCTTTTTTTCTCTGTTAGGAAATGTCGCATATTTTGAACAGCGCTGATTTTCAATGTTTTATTAACTAATAATTACACTAAATGTTGTCTCTAACAGTTTCATATTTAAAGAAAATAACACATCTATCTGATAAGAGTTCTTTTTTGAAAACTAACATTGAAAAAGGAAGTTTTTATTAGTATATGACGTTTTACATTGACGTGATGATCTACGTTATAAAACAACTGATTATTTCAGAGAGAGACAGTGAGAAAGCATGATAAATATTTTGTCTATTTTCTAGTTGAAATTGGAATGAAAAAAACTTCTAAGATTAGTCGGTAAGGAATATTAGATGTTACTGGAAACATAGATTTCAAAAATTAACGAGAAACACAAATGCTTTTTTTGTGAAATGATATTCAAATAAATAGACAAGTTTTTTGTTGATTTTAGATTGTAAAAGTATTAAACTTTCAACAAGTTATTAATAATGAACAACAACAACAGAATAGGGGTTGATAATGATGTAATTTTGTTGATAAAAAGAAAATCCATAAAATATAATATTTGTGTCTGTTGATTATTATAGTCTGAAACAATTGCATCGAATGCAGTTCAACCCAAAAAATTGTATGTATCTTATGGTGACTCAAAATCGCTTAAAAGATAGATGGGCCATATATAATTAATGTAAACTAAATTATGATCATCAATAGAATAATCTCGTGTTGATTTTCCATAAAATTCGAATTTCCAGGGATTAGGTTGTGTTAGAAGAAGTTGATATTTATTAATCATAAATGAAGGACGAAAATTGAATCGATACATTGTTAACATATATTTGTTGTGAAGCTCGATTAATCCAGAACAGTTTATTTTCCGCGTTTAATATATCAACAATGCGAGATATGTACTTCGGTTATATGACACCGATTATATCAAGAATTATTTGGAATGATATAACTCCAGGTGTCTTCTATTGTCCTATTACTTTTCTTTCCATCATATCAAACACTCAATGCAGAACAAATGAACTATGAGATTGCTTTGATCGGTTTCGTATTTATTTTTTGTTTATGACACTATTACTTTCCAAAATACGATGGCAATACATTCTTTCATGGACCTGTTCGAACTATTGAAATAATTATTACAAAATATTAATGCAATTGATAATTGTCTATCAGTTGTAAAGAATTATTTTTATCTTTTCTTCTTCTTTTTCGTTCGTCTTCTTCATATCTATATATAAAATAAATAGAATTAACTTTTAAATTTCTTTACAACTTGGAAGATATCGATTATTTTTCTATAGATGAAATTATTGATAAAGTGATTTCATATGATTTAAATCTTAAATGTTTTATTTCATGATGTCTTAAAAGAATATTTTCTTCATCTTAAAATTCATAAACAAGATGAAATTAAAAATATAGAATTTTATTTAAGATTCTAAATAAGAAAGGAGGGGGACCTTTTATACTAGAAATTGATTCTAATCTTATACGCTCCCCTCCCTTAGAAACACAAATTGAAAAAAAAATTCTATAATGTATAAAAAAAGTAAAAAATAAAAAAAAGATAACTGAAATTTTTATTATAATTGTTAATATAGTACGTATTGTCCTATACCATCAGCCTTTGCAAATATTCACATAAACAGATAAAGTGTCAGTTTTAGAGTTAGTCACAGCTAAATCCGGTCTATTATCCTTATTTAAATCGCCAACGATCACTGAAGTCGGATTACCACCTGTCTTATAGGTACGTTGAGCATGAAATATTCCATTTCCAACACCGAACAATACACTGATACTATCACTATCACCATTAACCACTACTAAATCTAAATTTGTATCATTATTAAAATCACCAACTGATACATAAATTGGACCTTTCCCAACTGCATAATTTGTTACATTGCTAAAGCTTCCATTTCTATTATTGATTAATACACTAATATTATTCGAACCAGAGTTAGCAACTACCAAATCAGTACTGTTGTCATTATTAAAATCACCTATTGTTAAAAAATTTGGTGTTCTACCGACTTTGTAGTCTTTTGAATATATGAAAGTACCACTCCCATTATTGAAAAATATACTAACGGTATTGTTTCCTGTATTTGTCACTATTAAATCTGGATATCCATTATTATCTATATCAGCAGATGTTACACACGTCGGAGATCCGTTAAACTTATATGCTTGTTGGGTTACAAAACTCCCATTTGTTGTACCAAACAATACAACGACAGTAGCATCCTCAATAGTTGACACAGCCAAATCGAGTATATTATCAGAGTTAAAATCCATTGCGACGACACAAGACGGTAATTTTCCAACTATGTAGCTGACTGGAGTATCAAAAAATCCATCTCCACGACCAAAGAGCACATCAAGTTTGCTGTCATCTTGACTGATTACTATCACATCTTGTTTAGTATCATTATTGAAATCAGATGATATAACTTGATATGGAAAACCACCAACTTTATTGCTTAATGGAGTTAAAAAAGTAGCATTTCCACTACCAAGTATCACAATAATATTGTTATCTTCTTGAGCAATCAATGCAAGATCTTGATTATGATCACCATTAAAATCATATGATAGTAGCCACAAGGCAGATTCAGTATCTACATCCTTAGCTTTACTGTCGAAATTACCATTTCCAAGACCAAATAATATTCTGGTATTGTACTCATTATTGCTTATTATTGCCAAATCTAGTTTGTTATCATTGTTGAAATCAACTGCTGCAATGTATAGCGGGTAGAAACTAAGTGGATACGAGATATTATATTGAAAACTTCCAGTTCCATACCCAAGTAGTACATTAACAGTATATGCATAAGTATCTAATATTGCTAAATCTGCATTATTGTCACTGTTGAAATCAGCTGTTATCAAAAAATCTAACTCAAAACCAATCGAATTAAGAGTGGATGTCGTAAAACTTCCATCTCCATTGTTAAGCAATATAGTGACACTACCATCATCACTATTGGTTACTGCTAAATCTAGGGTTTTGTCATTATTTATATCAGTTGATATCATAGAAATTGGATAGTAACCAGTACTATAATTAGGTGCAAGACTAAAATTTCCATTTCCAATACCAAAAAATACATTAACAGAAGGATTCAAAGTAAATGACACTGCTAAATCCATGATTTTATCACCATTGAAATCACCAGCGATTAGAACAGATGCGGTGAAATTAAGTGAAAAATAGGTACTATTTGGAAATAGACCAAATCCATTGTTAAAAAGTATGCTAACAGTCATGTCATCTCGATTCGCTATTGCTAAATCCGGTTGACCATCATTATTAAAATCACCAGATGCAGCATAGGTAGGGCCTTGACCAACATCATAATGGACTGCATCCAGAAAAAGTCCATTTCCAAAACCAAATAGAACACTAACTGTATCGTCATCTGTATTAGCTACTACTAAATCTATTTTCTTATCGTTATTCAAGTCGACTGATATCATACTAGTTGGTGATTGACCAATAGCAGGTCGTGTACTTCGAAAAATTTGCTTCTGATCACCTAGTAGTAAAGACACAGTATTGTCGTTTGAGTTTGCGATTACGACATCGATGTATGTATCATTATCGAAATAGCCCAGTACCGAAGAAGATGGATAGTGTCCAGTATCAACAGCATCGAATGGTTCAAATGGATTATCGCATACATATTCTAAAACAAAACAATTATTATTAAAATATAGAATAAATTAATTGAAATATTTATAATTTAACTAGATAAGAAACTATATGAGAATCTATTTATTACTTATGAATATGTATATGAAATAAAATGTTATAAGTTCTCTTAAAATAGAAAAAGAATATTCAAATTTCATACTTGTTGGTTTTGATTTTGTTCCCAAAATAACACCAATAACAACAGCTGCAATAAGAAGAGTAAGCAATAAACACGTTGGAATTATAAATCGTTTCTTTCGATAAAATGGACGTCTTATATGAATAAAAAGAAATAAAATAATAAAAAAAATATTAAATTAGACTTACGGAATTTTTGGATAAATATGTGCACCTAAATATTAAAAAAAATATTATTAATATATATATATACAATAAATGATTGAAATACCTTCAAATGGTGGTTCAAGTGTCATCATTTCTGGTTCTACTTGTTTCAAATGAATAATATATAAATTAGGTGCTGGGCTAAGTTGTGATTGAACTATCATATGAGTACCTGACATAAGAGCAATTTCATCTTCAGTAACGAAATGTGAATGTGCTTTTATTGTTCGACCATTAATAGCTTCAACAGAAAAAAGTGTTCGATCACCTTCTTGTCCCAAATACATATTATTTTCAAGTACAGTCATTTCAGTAGTACATGATGAAAATGCCCACCATGTCATAGCACTACCAGGTGGAAATTCTGCACTTAAATTCATAGTTACTCCACGCCAAACAGTTAATGGTGGAACACATGGTAATTTAACAAGAGCAGTTAAGAACAATTTGAGATACTTGAAAAAAGGTAAAAGTGCTGGACGATCATTATTTTTCAGATTATAATTGAGTGTTGAATAGAGACTTCGATGAGGTTTATCCCATTCAATTGTATAAAGACGAATTGCAGCACTTTCATTAATTGTTAATCCATCAGGTGGTTGTTCAGGAGTTTCTCTTAATGCTAAGTCAACATAGAATGATAAATTATGAAAAATATCATTCAATGGAGCACATGCTTGTGCAAGTGGTAATATAGGTTCTTCTGCATATCCTAGAATAGGACTTGGATCTGTTCCATCACTTTTAAGATTTTCTTTATTAATTTTTTTTGTATTGTGTCTATTTCGTTGATTAGATCTATTTCTGTTAGTATTAGAATCTGCTTCTGATCTTCCTGTTTGTCTTCCACCACGTGTTACTTCTCGACTGCGATTTCCATCTGTCCCATCTACCGGATGTGCTATATTCTCCCTAGTATTGCCTCTTTGATTTGTTGCCTGTTGACGTTCGTTCGTTACATTATCATCCAAGACAATATCTGTAGATGTTGTTTGTATGCCAATATCTATAGTCTGTATGTATTCTCGATAATTTTCCGATACATCATCGAGTCTATTTGCAGTTAAATTAGTTTGTATGTAAACATTTCTGCTAGCTGTAAGTTGATCATTGAGTGGAACTTCTGTTTCTATTGTATATATAGGAAGATTGTTGGTTTCCATTGTTTCCAACTGTGGATAATCGCTCATATTTCGTTGTTTTTCGTAATGAATATCGATGATCTATGATAAAAGATAAAGTATTTCTTATGAAGAATATCTATGTGAGAATATATATCTTAAAATCATATAATTGAAGTTGGAGATTTATTATAGCAGAGTAACACAAAAAATATCATTATTTTTCTAACTTTTTAGTAGAATAATTATATATAAAAATGATAAAATGTCACAAAATATTATTTAGAATATGGGTCGAATGAGGTAACTACTAAAATCGATTTTTATATGATAATTGTCATTTTTTTTGTAATATTTACCGTTAGAGAATATTGAAAAACGATTGAAATGGAAAATGAATAAATGTGTATAGTAAGTAGTTATGTAAAAAAATAAAAAAAAAATACATTATGAGAAAAACGAGGGGGTATTTTATTTTTTTCTCATAATACAGTAATAATTATGCTCAAATACTGTGTGTCATATTGATAACATCAACGAAGTATATTGCAAGTCATGCGTGCATAAATTGGGTTTCTATTGGCAGTCATAAAAAAAATATATACGTGAGAAGCAATTATCCGCAACGGAGCATATACATGTGCGCGAATGAAGAAATTTGTATTCATAATTATATTTTGTGTAGTTTTAGCTTATTGACTATATATAATAAAATTTATCTTACTTCTTTCGTTCGCACGATAATGATAAGACGTATTTTTCGCGTCATACCTCAATGACACCTATGAACTGTATATGTATATGTATTGAGCCACGTGGCGATTTATTTATTATATTAAAACATAAAAAATTATAACACACAAAGACGAACTAAATTTAACCTGATTTCATTTAAGATCGAAAACTATTAAATCTTTTAAACTTTCAAAAGTACTAGATAATGAATATTTATCTAATTTATAAAAAAAAACAATGAATTATTGTTTTCTTATTTGATAAAATAAAATTTTTTTAGATAGAATATAGTAAACGTTAGCTCGTTTCGACGAGCGTGTATGTTTATTTTAAATATAGAAAATCACACCATTTTCATACACGCACGCACATATATAGGTGTTAATAATACAAAGAAGAGAAACGATAACAAGCGATAATAGAAAGAGAAAGAACGATATGTATAAAAGATAATCGTGATTCACCACTAACAGTGAGATAAAAAAAACTTTAATTCATTATAAAATAATACTACAATATATAAATATTTAATTTTAAAAGGAATATTTCTATTGAACAATATGCATAATAATGTTTATTAGAATTATTTATCTATCTATGTAGTCTATTTTTGTTTCTTTACACATTATTAAATTTAAAGATTCATCAATGATGTGTATTCTTATAAATATAAATAAAAAAAAAATTTTATTTTCATATTTATAGAATAGATTGCAAAATGTAAAATTGTAAACATTTATTCATACTTAACAATTAATGCATATTCTTTAAATATTGAATAGAATCAATGAAATCAAATTAAATAATATAATTGTCATTCTAAAAACTTTGATGAAAAAAATTAAGTAAATAATTTTCTTGTTAGTTGTGAATATATTAAAAATTTACTCTATTTCGAATAAAAGAGAGAAATAATTAAATAACATTTTTAATTCTATCTTTAATCGATCGATATACTTTTATATATTTTATTACTTCTGTCTTATGTTAATTTATTTCATTTTTTTAAATTAACGTATTTTCAAGGTCAGAATGTATATTAATATGATTAAATTTGAGTAATTGATTACCTGATAGAAAATAATCTTATCTTCGGAATAAACAATCGATATAGTTTTATTTTATTCTCTACATCTGATACCTATTTTGCAAATGAATGTGGTATTAGCATCTATTCAAAGATTTCATTTGCAGTATGAGCCATACCACCAGATCTTAACTCATTCGTTTGTTGACCAATTTCAATGGGCCATGTAGTCCAACTTGTTATTGCAATATGTGTATCTTTATCAACAATATTTTGATTGATTAAAAAATTTAAAATATTGATTAAACTAAGTTCTTGCATTTCAATTACTTCTACTAAATCTTTTGAATGCTGTGTATCTTGATGACAAATATTAGTAATATAACAATAAGCATAATCGAATTGTTTCCAATTATTAAATTTTTCATATAATAAGTTTAGACAATGTTCATCTCTTCATTTCCAACCTTCAATAACATTCCAATTGATTTGTATCCGTGGAATTTTTGTAGAATGAAATTTTTCATTCATAATAGATAAATATTTTATATAATCATGCATTAGGTTTGAAATACGATTTGTACTTGCTTGACGACAATTATCAACACGTGCTAATATTTTTCTATCTGTCCAAGAAAGATTTGGATATAACCATTGTGGTGGATTGCGCTTGATATATTCATTAATTTATTGTAGTCAAGATAAGGCATTAAATTTGGCATTCTTTCATCAAAATTTAAGGAATCAGGAGTATATGAAAATCCATCTCGAGTAACAAACCATCCTTTTCCATTTCGATCTTGTCGATCTGTTGAATTACAAATATCAAAAATTTTACAAAATAGATTATCTTTTGGCAATTCACCGTAGAGTTCTAATAATCCTAATATAGTACCATCATAACATTGAGTAAAAGCAGGTAATGCTGGAATAAGAGAAATATTATTCCTACGAAAATTCATCAATGCTTCATTCTTGAGGGTGTGGGTGTGGGTGTGGGTATTTATCTTCTCTTAACCCACACCCACACCCTCTTTTTGCAATGCGATTGATAATGAAGATTCTAATTGTGAATTTAATAAAATATTTCTTTTGTTTACTTTTATGAATTTTTTCTTTTTCGTTCAAATCAATTTACTATTGTTTCGTGTTTATTATTTTATTCTATTGAAGTATATGAAAAATAAAAGAATAGATAAAGATAAGAAATAAACAATGAAAAGTAAAATGTATAATTCATAAATATCAAGAATAAAAAATACACCTTTCTCTCATATTTGTTTTTGTTCTAACAAATATACTTTTATATGAGTGACAATGAAAAAAAAACGAACAGTATACTGTAGGAAAATCTTTTTCATAAATTCACAAATCTGTTCAATTGTGTCAAGCTTCTATTTGTGATAATTTCAATCCTCAATTTCCAGTTGTCGACTATGATTGTTCACAAGGTGCCAATTCGGTTATTGCAATCAAAGAAATTCTATCTAATTTAAAAGAAAAATATACAACGCCACGTTTATTAAATATTTTGGTGGTTTTCAACAATCAGTCAACAAATGATTGGATAACTCTGTTTAAAAATACTTTACTAAAGACGATGACAATCATCATATCACTCATCTAGCATCAGGAAAATCATTTTATGAACAAATAATGCCATCAGATTCTGTACATTTTTCGTATGTATCAACATTTATTAATTGGTTATTAAGAAAACCATGCAACATTACAAATCAATGGACTATCAAACCACATGAAGAATTTCAACTATGGAAATAACAAGCACATGATGATTATAAGTTATTTCTAGAACAATGATCAAAAGAATTTAAAAAAGGTAAGATATTGTTATAATAGATTGAATCATTAATCTATATATCTATTTAAACGAAAAGTGATTGATCATTCTTTGAAAAAGTTTGTTTTAGTTCAACAGAACGAACAAATTAAATAGTGAAAAGGTTATTTTATTTCTCGATTTTCTATCAGTGTTAAATTTTGTAAATATTTGCAATTCGATTATTTTCGACCGACTCAAGTTCTCTAATAAATTAGGAATATTCTTTAAATACTATAATTCATATTTTTGCATCTCCTACGTCGACAATATATCTTTTCTTTTATGTGTTAGTCCTGCTTATGTAAAAGGGCATAATAATACTGTTCTTCATTAAAATCTGTATAATGTAGCTGTATCTATTCTAAACAGTGAGGAAGTATTGAATTTTAATTCGAGTACTTATCTTCGTACATTGGAGGAATTAATTGATAAAAATACATTAAAACAAACAAATTTTGAAGTGATTGGAGCTGATATAACAGAAAATCAGCAACCACCGTTTTATATCGATTTCAAACAAGGGAAAATCACACTGAACGAATATGGAATAAAATATACTGGATTTGTACGTAGTTGGTCAGAAACAAGTTTAATCAATGCTTTAGATATAAATAGAAATGAAGAATACAAAGCAAAAACTATCGATGAACTTTACAAGGAATTTGAAAAACAAATTAAAACAAATGAAAGTTTAAAATTAATGGAATCATATCGAACTAACTCACATTTTGTTATACTGAGAAAAATATGATGAAAATTTCAAAAGAAGATTTATGATTTCGAATCCAGTGTGTGTTTTTAATAAATTGAGGTATTTATTTTCAATGTTACTTTTTTCATATCTAATTATGAAATGATCATTATCATGATGATATTTTATTAATAAGTTATTTTTTTAATATAATCATACTTTTATTAACAATTACAGTTCAATGAAAACATTCTAACTTCTAGTTTTCTTTTCTTATTACAGTTTGCTTGAAGATGGGTGTGGGTATCTTTTCTATAGTCCCACACACTCGTTGCAATGATACAACTGAATATATATATCATAATTTATTGCGCTTTTGTGACTCTTTTTTTCTTTCCCCTTATCTTTAGGTTTTTTTCCCTCTTATCTATTGTTAACGTCTCTGTTTTATTATTTTTTTTCGCAACGCTTTATGTTGATACATGCATATATACCTTTACATATTCTACTCTGTTCTTCATATCTATTCGAATTTAAAAGAGCAAACAATCTCGGAAGCAAGTTGTTGGCCAGTCTAAGCTGGTTAGTTTTTCTCAGTGGAGTAGTATCGTGCGAGTGAAAATGAATGTAGTTGCATATGAGACCGAGACGGCGAAAGAAAAGTTGGATGATAGTGTAGGTTCTTTCTTTTCTCGCACTCCACAGCCATCTGCATTCTTTTCTCTATTCTTTCTTTTTTGTCGAAGACATTTTGACTAATGCGAGAGTGTAACTATTGGTATTACATCATTCACTGCACCACATCTACCACACTTTGATCTTTAATCTTTGATCGACGTTATGTGTAGAAAGCGGACATTAGTCTACATAATCTATCAAGGAGTGAATGTTAGAGAAAGCGATCTAAATATATCATTTTACAAAGTTAAATGTTTTTGGTGACTAGATAAATTACTAAAATCTCAAGTGACGTCGCATAATTATCTTATTAAGGATATTTCTCTAAATTACTATGATTCGGAAATGTTGATATTCATTTCGTTGATGTACTACTAGTCAAACGCTTTAGGCAATATTATTTATTTCTAAATAAGTCGATGTATTTATTCATATGAATATTAATTTATTGTTATAGATTATAGTTTTTTATAAACCGGCTAATACACTTTAATGACAGAGACATATTTGTCTAATCTTCCTGCCGAATTACTTCAACGCATTTTTGATTTTTGTGATGTACACACGATTCTATACGATATTGGTTCTGTTTGCAAGAGACTTCATGCTATTGTAGGTCAATATGATCGAATTCATCTAGCGCTTAGTTCGCGAGATTCTTCGAAGAGAATAATGTACATTTATTATCGTATTCCACATCATCATGTAGCGTCATTGGCTATCTTTTGGGACGATCCACGACAATCATTTAGACAGAACGACAAGTTTATTGAGCGTATTCTTCAATTCACACGACTTCGATACTTGACTCTGGATGATTTTAACGACGTAGATATACAATCTTTGTTAGCAAAATCTAATTACATGCAATTGATCTCACTCATGATCAATTCAAGGGACAAAGCAAGCAGTACAACATTTAAAATTATGTCATTGATGCTTGTGAGATCGAATCTTCAAAAGTTGTGCTGGAATAGCTTAGATTACAAAGCCGAAGTGATGTCATGGCCCAATCAATGCAAATTAAAATATTTATCAATACATAGTTGTCTCTATAGTCAATATTTACATATTCTTCATCAGTTACCATATCTAGAAACACTTCAATTAGAAAAATGTATTATGGACATGAATAATATGTTTGAATCATCATCAAATTTGTTATTTAACTCACAATTATCGTGTCTAATCATTACTGATTGTTCGCTATCGATAGAACATCTCAGATCATTAATTTTGAAAACACCTAAACTTCGTGAATTTAAAGTAATTTTTCGTTCAGGAGTGTTCAACTCTGTTATTGACATTTATGAATGGGAAAAATTCATTCGAATTGAACTCAATTTTCTTAATCGATTGGAATTCTGCGTTCCCTATACAAATTCAACAGATAATGCCATTAGTTTAAATTCGATTATAGTTCCATTTCGAGAATCATTTTGGCTTAATGAAAAACGTTGGTATACTGTCTGTGAAACCGTCATAGGCGATTATAAAGAAAATAAGATATTACTTTTTACAATACCATTCACTATAAATATTGATGATTCCTATGGCGTAAGATGTGGAATCTTATCAAAAGATAATACTTATTATATAACTAAGAAGTCAAGAAGAGACACTACTGTTGCCAATATACATGATGTAAGTAGTTATTTTAAAAAAGAGACTAATAATTATATTTTGTCTTACATATGGTCATTCTTTAAACCATCAAAGTAGTCAACATTTGGAAGATACGATATTTTCTACTTAAAAGAAGGGAGAGCCAACTAAACTATGTGAGATGCAGTATGATGAAACAACTAATTTTATGATTTTATGTAGCTTCATACAGTTACAGATGTAATAATACCGATCATATATTGCAATATTAGTATTGATATTGCTCAAAGATGTGAAACTCATTCTTTTTTTCTTTCAATATGAGGTTAAAAAAATTTTGTAAGAGTCATTTCAAAAAAAATACTCGACAATCTTATAAGTGACATGAATAGTACTGTGTTTTGTCCAGATAGCAAGAGGCAAGTTTGATTGGTCAACTTATCAATCAATCACATTTCATCGGACTGTTTTCTTCTTATTTCATGCCCATTTCAGAGTAGAGAAACGAGTAAATTTCACATCTTTGAGTAATATTAACTCATTGCCATTGCTACATCTTTTGAAGTAATTTCAAACTGATTTCAACTATTAAAATCAATCTGTTTCTCCTTGACGAAATGAAAAAAAAAAGAAACCTTGTTTGAACAGAAACGTCAAAACCTTTACCTAATACTAGTTGAGCTCTAAGCGTCTATTGATAAATCCTATCTTTGTTTCGTTTAATTCATACAAATCTCAGAGATTCAGATTTGCCATATGCATTTCATGTATTCCAAAATAATCAAGTACTTCAGAATTTGTCTTCTTCAATTTTATTTCTATAGTCTTTCTTCGAAATATAGACAATCACTACACTGAATTTATACAGTAATGACATCGGAACTTTTGGCACTCAATATATTGTTGATGCATTAGTAAATAACACGGTATAAATCTCATTTTCTTATGATATTTTTAATATCTGCTGCTTTCAATATCAATAGACACTGACTACATTGAATATAGTCAACAATGCTATTGGAGACGAAGGTGCCAATCAGATGGCTGATCTATTAGAAACTAACAAAGTCTTCTTATTCTTTGCATAACCTCGACTTATCTTCTATTCATTTCTTTCATTGTTCATAGACATTAACTACACTTTCCATGGCATCAAACAAAATCAGTGACAAAGGAATGCACTTTCTTTGCAAAGCATTACATAAGAATATGGTGAATTTTTCTTTTTTTTCTTATAATTTAATATATAGATATTATGTTTCTTGTGTAGACATTGAAAGAACTAAATCTTGAAAATAACGAAATTACAAATGATGGAGCAACATATTTATCTCAAGCATTACAGAACAATAACGTGATTGCATTTACTGATTTGAGTTTATTGCGTAGAAAAGAACTCTTTTTAAATATCTAGGTACTCGAAATAATCAATCTTTCAAGAAACTATATTAGAGATGATGGTGCTAGATATCTCGCCTCAGTGTTACGCAATAACACGGTAATATCCATTTTTGTCTGCTATATCATATCTTCATTATGTTTTCTATACTAAGATCGTTAGAGTGCTCGATCTTAGTGACAATAAAATTAGCAATACTGGAGCACAATATTTATTTGATGATTTACAACAAAACACGGTATGTCTTATTCTAGAGATGCAACGATGTTGATTCTTCAATGTTTCACTGTGGACGGTGCCTCTATCTCAATGGATTACCGCTTAGATAAACCAGACAATTTAACGGTAACCGATTCGAGCAAAAAATCGATTTGAAGGAAATTGATGCTAGTAGTAAAGTGGTTTAACGATAACCGTTCAGACCGATTAAGCGATGAAAGGGTAACTTTTATGACAAAAAGGACGGTGAATGCTGTTGAAACCTACATTAAATAATATTGTTTTGATACCGGGTCCGCTACACTTGGCCGAAAATCACTTAGCCGACATATCACTTAACCGACGCCACTTAGCCGAAAGATTGTTTAGCCGAAAGGTACGCTTAGCCGACAGGTTCATTTCGCCGACAAAAACTTGAGGGTGAGACTGTAGGAATACTTAAAACAGAACACACCCACACTCACCCACACTGACATCCATACCCACATCCACCCCCTCACCCACACTGACATCCATACCCACACCCACCCCCTCACCTACACTGACATCCATACCCACACACACCTCTCACCCACACTGACATCCATACCTACACACACACACACACACACACACACCTTCAAATTTGTGTCGGCAAAATAAACCTGTCGGCTAAGAGTACCTTTCGGCGAAACAATCTTTCGGCCAAGTGGCGTCGGCTAAGTGATATGTCGGTCAAGTCATTGTCGGTCAAGTGATTGCGTCCCTTTGATACCATTACTTGTTGTCATCTTAAAGGTGCCTAAATCAAGGAAAAAACTGCTCTTTATCGTAGGCTTTTAACGTACCATCGTTTATCAGTTACCATTTCAT